AATATATTTGCTATTAGTATGTCGGCTAATAGAGTTTCACGATTAAACTTCCGTAGGCATTTATCTTTGTCATTGAGAACTTTTTTGTGTTAGTGTGTCAATAACCATGGATAATTCGTTCAGGCTAGGCAGCTTATTGGTTCAACTTTACTTGTGAGGGAAGAAGATAGGCCGCAGTTGGAGGAAGGCGAACTCTATACTCGTGATCTTGTCGGGATGAGAGTTATTCTTAAGGTTTGTGTTGATAATGTATTGTATTTTTAAAGATATGGCTTTGTGCATGAGCATATGTGCAGGATCCTTACATCTAATTTCATTTGTATCCCTGAGATCCACAAGATAAATATTGGTATCATAATATCATTTCATACTGAAATTCTTCCTTTGATAAGATAATTTGTTTATTAACTATATTTTATTTAATGCACACACACATTTAAAGTTCATTGTCAACTTTTGCTTGAAAATGCATTGTCTGACTTTTAGCACTAGCTTTTATTTATCCTTGTCGGTTTACTTTCTCTTACTTTGGGAGAAGCTTATCTTTATCTATTCTCATCATTCGTAGGAACTCAACCTAGATTTTTAATGCCGTAAGTTATGTTCTTCGCTTTCAGGAAACTGGTGAACCTGTGGGAAATGTTGTTAATGTTTTCAACAGCGGAGCTAGTGATCTTCTACAGGTCATGCTTGATACATCTCTAGATATCCTTGATTCAACTGGAAAGCCAAGGCCAACAGGAACAAGATTATCTGGTCACCTTGTGTGGATACCGTTTGTCGAAGAAATTGTTCCAAATGTTGATGTGCAAAGAAAAGAAATGCTCATTACACCTCCAAAGGGACTCCTTGAACTAAATTTACGCTTCGATGAGAGGTCCAAGAAAGAAAGGCGCCAGCTTGTGAGGCACACTCTCTTGTTCTACACTAAAGAATCTTAGTCATTTGTTACTACTTGGCAAAATCTAATATCTCATGCATTATAATGTTCATTGAAAGAATTACCAAGTCAAAGTCCCACCTGTTGGTGTTTTGGTTACAATAGATGTGGTAAAGGCTAATTGGATTTACTTGTATATAGTATTATTATGTCCTCTCATAGGCTGTTTACTGTAGGGAACTCCTGGCTTGCTTTGGGCTGAATTATAGGTGGATTAGGTGATCTTATGGAGATTGGTCCTAAGCCATATCATCTATGAGATTTGTAGTTAGATTGTTTCAGCCTTTTCTTCCCACTAGCTATCCAAATTAAAAATGTGGAGATGGCAAGTGGTTTTCTGTTAGATTAGGGTTTTTTTTGTTGTTGGACAAATTTTATTGAATATATGTGAATATACAATTTGTACATAAGTAAATGATTACATTTCTTATCACTGGATTGCTATGAAGAGATCAGGCGGGTGAACAAAAGGCAGAAAGGGAGTTACATTCACCTCATTTTTGGTAGACAAGTAATCATTGAGACCTTATTGAGGCTAAAGTTATAATATAACAATTAAGGCATTGCACATACCTTTAGCAAAGCTTTCTAGTGCAGGTTACTGTAGTACATTGTAGAGGTAAATGAACATCCCATCGTTCCCTTATAATTACCATGCTATTTGTTTCCTTTAGTTATTCATCTTTTGATACTTTTCAGGAATGGAAAGAGAGAAAAAAGATGCAAAAGCGCCTCATAGCAGCAAAGAAGAAACTGTGTGAAATGGAGCAAAAACATGTATTTGATGGGTTAAGATTTGGAGAGAAAGCACAGCGGAGCTTACTTGCTGATCAGATTGTTGGTGTAAATTCAAAATTGCTTCAACAGGCTCTGGAAAATGTTGAGATACTCTCTAAAAGGTGAATTTAATATGATTTGTTTACACTTTAGTTTCTTGTTCATCTGATTCATGAAGGAGAAGCATGAGGGATGTCTGCTCTACTGCCAGATGGATTTGCATTGATGATTTAACCTTTGTTTGGCTTCTTAATTCAGATGGAATGTAACTGAGATGGTCAGTGCCCTTAAAGCCAAAGAAACAACTAGCACTCTGGAAATATCAGAGGAATGTCTCGTTTCTTCTGCAAGTAAAGATAAGCTGGGTACACATTTTCATTTGCAAGAGAAAGGAGTAGATCTCATATCTAAAGGGAAAGTTGCCATTGCTTTGGTTGTAAATGACAGTGGGAATCCGCAAGAACCACAACTGGCCTGTAACCCTGATCTTGAAAATTCCGATGGCATTGAGAAATCAGTATCTCCCTTTCTTCAGACATTACTTTGTGATAACCAGAGATTTATAAAGGTGATACTCATTCAAGAATTTTCATTTTAGGTGCTTTTTCCCCATCATCTTTAAAGATAATCTATACCTTTTCATTTGCTCCCTTCCATTGTAAAGTTTGGAATAAATTTTTGATGACTACAGGTTCTGGCTGGAGATTTGGTGTTATGTGCATATCAAGATTTTGTTGTTTCAGTTCTCCACTTCAATTTAAACTATATTCTTAATATAGACTTTTTTTCTCAAGTAAATTTGAGTGGGGAAAACGATGTCAAACAAATGCCATATATGTAGAGATTTTCTTTTTCTTGTGAAGATGCATGCTGGAATGTGTGCATATTTGAGTTGTCAGTTTCCTTGAGTGTATTCATGATCTCATTTCATTCTAGAAACTTCACTGAGTACTTCATAGTTCTCCACTAGATTTATGTTTGTACTTGTAAGAAAAACCGGCATAAAAATGGTCAACATTATTTCTTCCCTTTTCTTTGCGGGGTGGCAGGGGATACTCTTGTTTGGATAATGATTAGAGAAATCTATTGAACATTCCTTGTCGCAGATGGAAAATCGGGCATCAGTGCCTTTGGTTCTGGTTTGCTCGGCCCAGGAAATTCAACCTTTAAGGATGCATTTCTCAGAAAACGATTACTTCGGCTTCGTCCCTGAAAAGGTTTGTAGTTACAGCATCACATGAAGAGTCTTTATAGTTTTGATTGGCACAGCATGATAGTATTATTAATCGCATTAATTGTCAAAACATTGTAATAATGGTTACAATTCAGTATTCCATGGAAACAGTAATGCCCACTGCACAGGCATCAATGCTCAAATGAATTCAACATAAACTTTTCCTTTGAATGTTCAGCTATTAAAAATTCTATTAAATCTTGTTTTAGACTGATAGTAGAGGGTATGACATTCTGATCAAAATTTGGGTTTGGTTCTTACGTTCTCTTTGATTCTCCACAGGTTTGGTTCTTAGAGGAAGAGAAACTTCCAGTTGTCAGCAACTCGGTTGAAGCAGAGAAGAAGCATAAGATTTTGATGAAATCACCTTGGGAAATACTTCAATCACCTGTTGGATCCGGAGGAATTTTCAGTTTGCTTTCATCAAACAATATTCCAGAGAGTCTTGGTGAAATGGGTGTGGAGTATATTGAGGTAAGAAAAACTCGTTATATAGATTATATTTGAGCGGGCTCTCAAGTTATAATACATATGAATGCTGTGACTGCTTGCATTGTTGATCATCACTTAAGCATATCTTCTTCTCTCACTCGATTGATTGCCTCTGCTTCTTCTTACAGGTATGCAGCACAAATCCAGGATACGCCGGTGCAAACCCAGTACTTCTTGGGTTTGTTAATTCGTGGAAATCTGATGTTGGGATCCAAATCTTCAAAGGCCGAAAGGATTTTGATGAAGGTTTTGACATTATATTCTCAACGAGCTTTATGAAGAAGCTGAGTAAACAGATCAATAAACTCCAGTTCTACGCTACTCCGAAGCAAAATTTACATGTTGAGTTGGTGGACAAAGAGTGGGTGGATGTTACTCCCAGCTCTCCCAACTCCTATGAGTTGGGTTGGACGATTTACAGCTCTTTAAAGGCCTCTTCTTTTGATAAGCTTTGTATAATGGAGGTTACAGAGTAAACCTGCAACCAGCTGAATCTACGTTTTTCATTTGTATCTACCCAAAAGAGGGAAACAAAAAATTGTAGATGAGTCTTTGCAATATATATGGATAAAGATACGTTGTATTAGATAACTGTACTGAAAAAATAGTAATATCTTCGTCATAACGTTGACATTGCTAGCAAACAAAGAAGAAGTAATCAAGGTCCTCTAGGAAAGGTCCTGGGTTCGAGTCCTAGCATCTGTGTAATATGTGAGTTTAGTATTATTATTGTCATTCTTAATAGAAAAGGTCCTTAAAAAAAAGGAAAAAAAGAAGGGAGTTTCACTAAAACACCCAAAATGGGAGTTGAAATTATAAAAAAACCCAAGCATTATTTAAACATATAAACACATCCAAAACCCATCATTACACACACTCAAAACCCATTTATAAACACACCCAAAAAGTTGACTTTGGGGTTGATTTTGGGTGTGTTTATATGTTTAAATAGTGCTTGGGTTTTTTTATAAATACATGTTTAGGATTGGGTTTATTTATAAATTTGTAAAAAAAGAATAAGTAACGAACTTAAGTGTGCAGTTACAGGAAATCGTACATCATCAAATTGTGGGGTCTACAACAATGGTATGCTTATAAGTTGCGCGACTTTAGTTCACAGTATATGTTGCAAATCTAAAAATTCTTAAAACCATAAACTGAAATAAATGGTGCAAAAATCTTACATTTTATCCTGATAATAATCATACATGACGATTAGATCATACTATCTACTCTTATTTTAGATTTCAATGTCGAGTAGAAAGTGAATAATGGAAAAGGGGTGTCCAAAGAAAGGACTAGTTTCAGTGAGTAAAATGAATGGCGTTCTTGGAAAAATATGATCCAATTGGGTGTCCAAAGAAGGAGAAATAAGGGTGCCCAGAGAGAAATTGATTACTCCTCCACGATAGTTCGCTATGTCTAGTTTTTCAAGTCCAAAACGGAAATTAATCAGTGGGACCTTTTAAGCCCAGCTCTTCTTTCGTTTGGTGGGAAGCCCAGCTCTTTTAAACGGGGTTATGTTAAGCCAGTAACCAAACAGACCCAATTCTAGACTACCCCAAATGACAAAACCCTAGTACCCCGAAAGCTCGCACTTTTGCTTATAAAAGCAGAGGCGCCAGTAGAAACTGGAGCTCGGCGGCTCAGCAAAAACCCTAAACTTCACTGTGAGCATATCTCTCTTTCTCTCCGCCTCTCTAGCCTAGGGTTTCAAATCTGTTCTATTCGTTTTAATTATTTCGATTGGTTTTAGCTAATGCAGTTCAATCTTCTTTCTTGGTTAAAAATTATTGCAGGAGGTAAGTGAAAATGGCGGTGCCGCTGCTGAATAAGGCTATCGTGAAGAAGAGGGTCAAGCAGTTCAAAAGGCCCCAAAGTGACCGCAAGGTCTCCGTCAAGGTATAAAACCTTCACATTTATCAGCTTCCAGTTCTACAACCTTCGTGTTCATTTTCCTGATCTTTTTTTTTGTTTTCATTTTGTATTCTGTTCGTGTTGAGTTATGTGGTGAAAATGATGATATTGTTGTCGCCCCAGTCTTACTTGCATCAACAGATGCAAGATGGTGATGGACGTATTCATATCTGATTCCATTGCAATATATCTGTCGTGAATTTGTTTGTTGTGTTTTTTTCAGTGTAAAAGCATTTTTTATTTGGCAATTTCATTTTTTTTAAACTTGGTTTTGATGGATATGAGGATAACTTCTATGCCCTGTCTTACTTGCATCTTAAGATGCAATAGGGTGAATTAGTGATCGACTATCTGATCTGGTGTAACAATGAAAGTTTTGATTTTGCCACTCTGGAAGTTTTGATCTCAGTGTTTTTTTCTCTGTATCCTGAACATTTATTTTTCTCCATGTTAAAACAAAAGGTTTTTATTGTTTGGGGATATGCAACAAGAAGTGATGATTTGTACCCATCTATTCTGCTTTTGAATGATGAATATTTACATGCACTACCATCTGATCTATGTTGCACACCCCATTTTCTATTACTATAATAGTTCCTTTTATTTTCTTATGATTAATGTCTCTACTATTGTTTCTTGTTTTAAGAGTAATCCTGCAATCTATGATGTAAAATATTTAACGTTTATGACATCCTGTGATTATTAAGTTAAAATCACCATCTTTCGACTGAGATTGCAGTTTGTACATTTTGTTTTAGTCACAGTTGTGATTGCCCTTCCTTTTTGTCTGTTGTATGTGTGAATGTGCATGAGCGTTGTATTTTTTTTTTTTTTGGTGTCATTGCCCATGGTATCTGATGTCCAGATTTATATTTGTGGCTGGACATTTCGTTAAACAGGGCATACATAAAAGCTTTACAGGTCTTGCGACACAGTTAGCTTCGTTACTCATCAGCTTTCTGTTACTATAACCCTGCAAACATCCACTTTGTCCTACGAAGTTTATTAGTCGGTCCTTTTCATTTCCTTGGTTGTAATTGCTTTGAGTAATTTTGTTTCATCGTGTGTTTCTTTGACAGACCAATTGGAGGAGACCAAAGGGTATTGATTCTCGTGTAAGAAGAAAGTTTAAGGGATGCACTTTGATGCCCAACATTGGTTATGGCTCTGACAAGAAGACTCGCCATTATCTTCCTAATCATTTCAAGAAGTTTGTTGTGCACAACGCAAAGGAACTTGAACTGTTGATGATGCACAACAGGTAAACTGAGCCCGGTTCTTTTTTTTCCCTTGTGGTCTGAGTTAGTGTTTCACATCTCATGTCTAATTTTGTATTCTTTTTGCCATCTTATCTTAATCAGGACCTACTGCGCGGAGATTGCACACAATGTGTCCACGAGGAAGAGGAAAGAAATTGTTGAGAGAGCAGCCCAGCTTGATGTTGTTGTTACCAACAAGCTGGCCAGGCTACGCAGCCAGGAGGATGAATGAGCTCGGCTATGAGCTATGTTTTTGAAGTGAGCGTTATATTTTAGGCATTATGATGAGTTGTAACCAACATTTCAACACTGAGATCGGATATTTTTCTCTTGATTGTCAACAGTTAGCAAATGAACAAGGTGTTACATTTTTGTTCTAATATCATTTTGTTCTCATACCTGGTCTGTTCATCGACATTTCAATACTGAGATCGGAAATTCAACCGTTACTATTTATTGAAAAAAAAGGGTGCCCACTTTTATTCAATAATATATGAAAATTTTGTGTATAATATGTGAATATTGTATGTATTTTTATTCAATAATATATAAAAATTATGTGTATAGCCTTGACCAAGAAGATCCTTATGCAGGAATCATTATGTAAATGATTTCAGGGAGTTAAACTCCCGCTAAAACGGAATTATTAGAAAATACATATGTACGTGTATAATATGAATTAAATTAAATGGGAAAATTCTGTAATAAAAGAGTATAGCCGACCGGCTATACTATTTATCACAAAAAAGGGAACGCGTAGAGCACCTCCAGTGCAGGGCCTTTTGCTAGGGCAGGAGGCCCCTTTTGAAGGGTTTGGACCTCCAGCTCGCAACCAGCAGCCCGGGCAAGCCCAAAGGCTGATCCTGCTTGGGCTTCAGCCTGAAGGCACT